CCTTTATTGTTTCAAAATCTATTCCTTGAGGCCCATCTAATTATTCAGCTGTACCATAAGCTATTGTTAGTGCTACCTACAAACTTCCTGAATTTAAAGGATACTGTCTTTCCTCCCTTCATCCTGGCTTGTATTCATGACCCAAGCCCTTTTATTTTTCCTTTGGTTTTAGGTAGACTAGAAGGCCTTGAGAAACTTTAGTCTTCTCTCAGGCAACAATTACCATGGTGTTTGCTTGCAGTGACTCTTGCCTATTGTGACTCGTAGTTTGAAAAACAAAATGTAATGTGAATAAACACTTACTATCTTAATTTCTGTAATAGTAAAAATTATTTATAAATATTTCATGAAGTAAGAAAAATTACATAAATGTACTTTTAAGTGGTTTTTAAGCATAAGATGATGACTATCTAACAGGAGAGGAACCTTCTGGGATGTTGAGGTCCGAAGTCAATGGCTGAAGAAGCAACATACAATACATAAGTCAGTTTGCTACAAGGTGAAGCATAACTGTCAAAAGGTTATTTTTCAATTTAAAAACCTTATTTTTTCCATTAAAATATTATTTGGTGTTCTGTGCTGTAATACTATATAGTATTTGACTAGAAGTATTTGAATTTATAGTTTAAAATATGTAATTGGACTGTAAATGCTTTGGACTACATCAGACATTGTTAGTAAAATCATCTTATGTTTTTGAGCAAAGTGTATTTGGAAACTTAAAGGAGCTGAAACAAACAATATACAAAATAGTCTGATAATGCTCCAGGACATAACCAAACATAGGCAGTGAAAAGCTTAGTAACAGTTTTCTGCATCTATTTAGCATAAAAGGTGAGATAGCTGAAGCTGACGTGATGGCCTAGTAGCTGTACTTTTAATGTTTAGATGCCTTCAGTAAAGTTAGACTGCTAAAGTTCCTGAGGATGAACACAAGAACACTTTTTCCCCTATGTGTTTTAACTTAAAAATGAGCAACATTGTATACATCCTTTTGGAGTTCCCTCTTTTTCTTGCCCAAGATGCTCGTATCTCCTACTGTGATTAAGCTCTTGAATATAATTAATGCTATTACTGAATGGTCTTGATGGACCCCCCCCTTTTTTTTTTTTTTTGATAACATAGCCAGATAGTCAGCAATGGAGAGGTGGTGTGAGGGAGAAATCTATAGTAAGATTGGGGCGGTTAATGAGATTTTAGATCACACTTTCCATATAAATGATCACTTTCATTTTGTTAACCCATATATGCTTTCATGCCAGGAATATCTTAGGACAATAAATGTCACAAATTAATTCCATAATATGTGAGAACCACTTCTGAAGGTACATTTCTCAAAGCATAAAAGGCTTTGCTGCCCTAGAGTAGAAGTAATCCATGAGTTCTTTCTGTTCTATTTTAATGTAACCAGATTTTCAGGTCCTCTTAGGAAACTTTCTGCTGACTAATAGGTGAATTTTGCAATCCTGAACTAATATAAGTCTTGTTCCAGAGACATATTTTAATATATATCTCTACATTAATATATGTAACCCAGATAATTTCAATAGCATTTATTTATTTTAATTCATTGGCAACCAAACTATATGTGATATTGTTAGGATTGACGTGTAGGGCCAATGAAGCTGAATAGACTGTGGTAATTTTATAGCACTGACATTTTTTTATTACAGCACTCTGGCATTAATTCATTGGTGAATATACTTTATATATTGAAATTCTACACAAAGTTACGTGCAAAATGTAGTCCTTTCATATGTCAGTATGCTGCCTATGGCTGTAATTATGGCAATGTGCACACATCACGTTAATAACATGGAGGAAGTCTGCAATACCACAGGATTCTCTTCTATTTGCTGTAATTGCTGCGATTAGTAAAAGGGCAGAGAACACATTTGCTTAGTCTATCAAAACAAGTTATACAGTGTTTAAGAAATAAGAGTTATATAGCTGCATTTCTCAGTAACCTGTGAAGTTCAGCAAATGCCTACATGCTCTCCCATTCTGCTGTGCAAATAAAATGAAGCTGTTAGTCAGGTTGGTAGAGCTCATAGGAATGTCCTTGTCATCTCAGAGTGAGCTGTCTAAAGAGTTTTCCTATTCCTACGTAATTTATTCACTGATCTTTCAAAAACCAGTAAATTGCAGAGTGCAGTTATTGGTGGCATTTGTGAATGGGCAACTTGCTTTTGTTCTTGCAGCAGATGCGTAGGTGGGAGAAAAAAGAAGATAAGCTGCAGAAAGTCTTACTGGTTCACTTAAAATTAAAACCAAATAAATAAAAATCCTGTAACCAAAGAGGGCTTGTTGCATGTGGTTATCATGTTCCATGTCTGGTTATGTCACTTGGAAATTCCTTTCACTCCTGCTCACGAAGAATGGAAGTTAGGATATTAGTTACTATATGAGCTTTCTAAGTCATAAAAGATTGCATTTGTGTGGAGACAAAATTTTATATCCAGTTGTCTGAGATCATAATCCAATCATAAAATGAAAATGCAAGTTTTGATAAATTCCCATTTTTATTACTCTTCTTTTTATCTTATTTCTTCTATTTCTTATTTTCCTGGGTCATGTACCTATGCCTGTCAGCCATCAGTGACTCTCTTGCAGTTACCCTTATCCCACCATGGCAACTGTTCAAACTGATTAAAAATAATTGAATATCTATGAAAATTCTTGAGCTCAGATCTTTGTGTGACCGTGCCAAGGTCCTTAACTAAGTGTAAAATAAAATTCTATAAAAAGCAAACATTTTCTTATATAATCAGGACATTCATCATGCCTCTGGATTTGCGATACATAGTGTGCCATCATCATGTTAGTATGGTGAGCTGCCTCAGTTTGAGTTACCATGGTTCTCCAGTTCCTCTGAGAGATCCTTTCTTCCATGCAAATTGTCATTCTACAGTAAACAGTCACTGGATGATGAGCATTCTGCGTGGACCCTTTTTTCCTCTTTATTAAATGTCAACAAAAGACATGCAATCAAATTTGAGCCAAAATGGCAGAGATTTACAACACATGAGATAACAATAGTGGTAGGTGGTTCGGGAGGTTTTAAGACATTAAACTGTAGCAGTTTTTTCTTTCTGTTGCTGTTTATCTCAGCAACATTCTAATAGGCATTTAACTACACAGTTCTGTTGTTGTCACTGTCCCATTTTATCAGTTGGCTCAGCATCAGATGGGTGGGTAGTAGGGGAATAATGCTACTACAGAAGGGTTTGAAAAAAGGACTTAGCAATTGGTGCTAGCAACTACTTCAAAAGTAGTAATTCAAGTCTGTGTAGACAGAAAAATTGTATAACAGCAGCATGTCTGAAAGCACAGGTGGTGCCCCAGTGTCAGGGGTAAGAGCGGAGGTTGAGTCTTGAGTCTCTATCAGTGATTTTGCTACCACTGAGAAACTCATTTACAAGCCAGAGGAGGTTTGCAACACTTAGTCTTAAGAAAGGAAATTTTTTCCTCTTTCAAATCAGCCATAGTACCTTGTACAAATTATTTGCTTTTTTAATACACTGAAAGTCATCTTTTATTACTGTCACTCTAACATAAACGTTAATGTAAGATATAGCCTGTATTGTGGAAATCTCTCAGCAGCTTTCAATAGTTATAAATCATCAAATGCATCTTTAAATATATAAAACATCAAATTATACACAGATAAAACTATTCTGTGTTTGTTTGGAGATTGAGCAATCCCCAGAATTAAATGCTGGAAGATATTCTCTCATTAACTGAGGAATTATTTTTATTAGTGGAACAAATCTGGATGTAGTTAGCTTTGTTTCACAGAGTAAATTCTAAAACTCTAGAAGAGAGGCACATTATCATGTGTTTCTGCTTTTCAGTCATTCATATAAAAATAAATTTTTGAGATTAAAATTCCCTTAATTCTTGTTTGCATAAAGTTGCATATTTGGCAATGTTGGTTTGATAAATATATTTGTAATTTATGAAGTAAGACAAAAGGTATTTTGGTACAAATCTGAGGGGTGGTTTTTGTACTTGAATTTCTAATAATAGGATTGATATTTAAAATGCTCAGCCTTGATCACGTAAGAGCTTGTACATATTTCCATGTACTTGTACGTTTTGGTTTTGAGAACATTTGTTTAGATTTTGCACTTCACTCAAGCTGGTGTGGTCAGTTAATTTTATTTTTTTTATAGTCAGTATCGGTTTCCAGTTCTCAGCCTTATTAGGAAAAGGCCGTACCCTTTCGGCTCACCACCTTGTAGGAAACATTACTGGCATTTTAGAACTCAGGGGTTTGTTAGTTTAGCTTTAAAGAGAATTATGACTTTTTTATTACTACAGGCTTACTGCTTCACAGGAATTGTCGAGCCGACTGAGATGCTAACTCTTCATTACCACACTGAAGGTGTGGAAGATGGGAGAAAGATATGACTGCTGTACCTGTTGCTGTGGATATGTCATGACAGCTTTCACTATCTTCCAGTGCAATAGTAATGTAATGGCATGGTGACGTAAATGTCAACTCTGTAACAGCATCCCTCTGGAAAGTCTGAGGGGGAGTAAGTTTTTTTCACTGCATTTGGAGTTATCCTGGCTTTTTTACTCGGTGCAAACGTGGCACAGAGTAAGTGGGAATGAAAGAGTCTGTTCTCTATGGACAGTGTTTCCCAAAGGAACCTACCATTCTTCTATGGAGTTGCTTGAAAAGATTTCTATTTTTATTCTGTTCTCATATTTTCAAAAAGAAGTAATGTTTAGATGAAAGAAAAAAAGAAATTTTTTTTTTGTAAAATTGCTCAGATAATGTGGTAATGCAGAGAACAGAGTGTTTGCATGTACTGTCCATTGTGAAGTACATTCTTCAGTGGATTTTATACATCTTGCACTGCTAAAATAAAGTAGACACTGTTTACATAAAATGATAACTACTAAAATATGTGAAATACATTCAGCAACGTGTTGCTTAGAACTTGCCAAGAAGAACATGTTCTAATTCCTGTCCACCTCCATTGTTACCTTAAGAGCAGCTCTCTCCATAGCAACTGAAAACTTTTCAAGGCAGCAATAAACTAATCCTCTCCAGCTTCCAGAGCACCATCAAGGAATTTTAAAAACATTGGACTTCTAGCAGCTAAATACTTCTGAGGATTCAGAAGGCCACAAAGCTAGATACACAAGCATTCCTTTTCCCTTCAGAAGGTAAGAAAATATCGTTTAGAAAAACAGTACATCTTCGTAACAATTTTACATATTCCTAACTTCTAACAATAACATGTATCTGAACACCGAAAGATTTCCTAAAGTCTAAAAACATACTAACCTTATCTGAGTGAATGCCAATTTGAATTCAATAGTTCTTTTTTCATTGTAAATACTCTGTTAGCAGCATTTCCTTTAAAATAAGACACGCATATCATACTGCACTTAAAATAAGCTTAACATATGTGTGGCTGTTTAACACGTGCATTGTCATCTGAAAATGTGTGTCGCTGCCAGCATCTGCTCACCAATAAAATGAAAACCTCTGTGGAAAAAAGAAGTGAAACTCTTATGTTTCTGGGGCTTTGATATTGAGATAGACTATTGCTAAAGCAGAGGCAATGGTGTATTAGGAAGGATAGTGACAAGACAGATTTACAGTACAAATGCCTTTTGCACCGAGAGTTAAGAAGTTAAACCTGTTGCTTCTCATGTGTTTGTTTATTCACTGAGTTGTGTGAATGAAATTGACCACAATTTTTTAACCCTCATCTGATCATAAAATATCACTAATTTTTAAGTACATACTGTTCGTTCTTGTCTTGTGTTTTGTAGCTGGAGTTCAGTAATGTTGGTAAACTATTTTGAAAATAAAATGTGCTCTATATCATTGTCATGTGGCATAATTACTGCACTTTCTATCAGTTAGACTAGTAATCTTTATTTACAGCTGGTTTTGCTACTAAACCCCAATTTTATAATGGGATGAAAGTGAAAGCTATGATATTTTCCTGTTCTTATTGAAGAGGATTATTAGTGAATGCAATAATATAACACTGAAATGAAAACCATACTCTTTCCTTTTATGAGGAGGGAAGGGCACTTTGAGTCAACCTCTTGCTGGTAATTCTACAGAAGTTTTAAGGCCATGGTTGTCTTAGTTTCCTGCTGTTCTGGGCTGTAAAGCCCTTACAGGCTCCCTGTTGTTCAAAAACAGCTTGTCACTGCAAATCAGCTTAGCCGACCAATTAATAAATCCTTTCAAACATATTGCATTCACACTAATTAAAGGGTTGGGGTTTTTTTTCCCCTTTTACCATTCAGATCCCTCAGGTTTCAAGTTTAAGCTGTGAAGTGCAAACAAGAATCCAACATTCGGTGCAGATCACGCACTGCAGGAAGAGGAGATGTGTTTTCTGACGAAGCATCCAGCTCTTGGGGTGGTATGTTCCGCTTTCCTATTCAGCGTGCTCATTGCTGAAGGACAGTCTGGGGAAGAGCATGGGCAGGATGGCAGCTATGCTCCCAGCCGAGGCTATCTGATGGAAGTTTTACGCGTTCTTTCAGCTGACAACACTGAGCTCCACATGAACCACTCACAAGAACTGGTCAAAATGTTACTGGAGAGAGCTGAGTGCCCACAGCGGATTTATGGCATGCAAGAGGATTGTAACCTGGTTAGTGCTTCAATTAATGAGGGATATCTTTACAGGACCGTCAGTGAGTTCTAAAATTATTTATTAGAGTGATAGTCTCCTGAAAACAAAACCTAAAAATGTGAAAGACATGTTGTTGCAGCAAAAAAAGTCCTGCTTTAATAATCTAATTCTGAACTATTAATATTTATTGTTTGAGCTCATGAAGAGATATTCCAAACATGACAGACATTCCTTAAAAACTCCATGCTTCAGTCACGCAACACTAACAATTTTCCTTTAAAACTTGTCAGGTGTTTATCTTCCAACAAGGATTTTTCTACTTTACCCTGATCTAACTATAAAAGCATGAGCTTGAGTTTGGGACACAGGATTTCCACTGTGGAAAGACATAGGTAATAACTGGGGACAAGTTTGGCCACTTTATTTTTGTTCTGGATTTTAATTCCTAAAAATAAAACCCAGACAGGTTTGTCTCAGATTTATATGCCACTTCACTGAAATATTCAAGATTTATGGGAAGATTTTGGTAGGCAGTACAGGTCAAGGAAAATCAAAGGCAGAAAAATGAACCTACGAATCCAAATAGAAACTGGAAATAGTCCAGGGTACATCTTCATAGAAGGTTTGGTTGTCTAGATGAGTTGAGAATATTTTCATAACTGATTCCTGATTTGACAAAAATAGGAACAAGTGTAATAAGATTGTAGGTTCTGGTAGGACAGATTTGGTGGTAAGTGAGCAACGTAGCTGAAAGGGACTAGAAAATTCTTGTCAGTCTTGGCTTTGGTTAACGTTACTGTAGCTCTGGCATTGTTTAGTGACCTACACACAGCAGAGTGTCACTTTGTATCAGAATTATTAGCAGGATGATAAAGGTGAATGCTTTCACAATATACTATTTTTAGCAATCTCCCTGGCCAATGAAAAGGAGATAATTTTCTCCTATGCAGTAGACAACTTCTCACTTAACTGGCCCTTTCTGCAATTTTCCTGCCTGTTTTCCCCTAAACGGGTGCTTTTTATAATGGAGATTATACAGTTTTTTCTCTTTGCACATATGGGCAATGGATATGTACCAGATATGCACCCAGGTCAAAAGATGAGAATATATAAATAGTAATGGGTATAGAGTCCTATATTTCACTAAACAGGGCTTTAGGCCTTCTTGTTTTCTCTTTGTTTTGCCTCTCTGGACTGCTGTACTTTTTCTTGTATTTGTGGATAGCACACCCACTGCGTTCTTGGATAGAAGAAATCTAAGTGAAACTTAGATGGGGCTTACTTTGGTCAGGACTTCCACTCTGTTTAGACTTCATGGAAATTTCTTGTGGAAAGACTCTGAGGACTTTCAGTGTTTTAATACATCCAGTGTTGACTGTGTCAGCAACACTGCACACATCCTGCACTGCCAGTGCCACATGAACACAGTTATATATAGAAGATCCATGAGAGACAGCATCTTCAGTTACATGAAGCCAACATGGGACTGTGCTGAAGTCTTCCACACGATTTAGCAAGATTTGGTAAATCAAGATAACAAAAACTGTGCGAGAAGCACTATCCTTCAAGGTCATCAAAACTTGAAACAGAATGGCCCACCTTAGCTTGGCATTTTCTTTCCATACATGTTGGGAATAACTAATTGACTTCAGATTCCACTTTCCTTTCTAAATCCAGGATTCCAGTCATACTGGACTTAGTTTTCAGATTTTTTTTTTTAATTTACTTTGAATGATGTCTCCAATGGGTATTTAAAACCAGTGAAATTTAACAGGCTTCTAGACCCCTTTTTTCTTACGTATTCACCCCAAGACTCTTTGGGCAGGGGCTGGCAACTATTGAATGGAGTTGGACAGTTTCTCTTAAGCACACAAAAGTAATATATTTCTTGCACTGGTTAAGATATTTTTTTCTAAATTCTGGCCCTTAAACAAAAGAAACTCAGGGTTCAGTGTCAAGGTTCAAAGGTGGCACTTTTTTTTTTATAGCAAATAAGCATTTCTAAACCAAGGCCATGCAGATATTTATGCCAGTAAAATATTATTAACAGCAAAATAACCAGTGATGAAGAGAGTTGTATTGTCTTCATATCTCCTCAAGGGTTGTTCTCTGTGGGCTACCCATATACTGTGGAGTAACTGCACCTTTTACAACAGACCTGCTTCCTTTCAATTAGCAATTTCCTTTTTGGTCATCTTCCTTGCAGTAAGAAATAACAGCCTCACTGATTACAGTTTATCCTCACTGGGTTTTGAAATGCTGTAGAAGCCTTTGAAAATCTTCCACTGCAGGCAGTATGCTTGTTCTATTACTACTGAGTGTTTGAAAAGGCTGGTTGACTAACTTGTGGTCTTTTGGGATAGAAAACAGAATAGCTGTATTCTTCCTACCCAAAATACTAATGCTCAGAGATATGCATTATAAAAAATTAGAATTATAGATCTTGGTAGACAAAGTAGGCAGGGCACAGTGGATTGATCACACTGTAATCTAGTTTATTTAACAGTATAAATATTTAATTTGTCAATTACTATCACAGTTCTCTCTTTTTTAGATTATTTGTGAGAATTTTTGTTAGAATTATTTCTATTAAAAAGTAGCAGCTCTCTCAATTCTTCCAAGGAATATTGGCTTCTGAACACAACGTGTGTTTGATTCTACTCAAATTCTGTGTAGGAAAATGAATTAAAAAAAAGTGAGCCACACTGACCAACACATCGTGCTTGTAGCCACAAACGATTGAGTCTGACAAACTAGGTTCTGTCTGGATTCATGAATTTATTAGAGAAGTTTTGATCCTCCCATAGTACTTTCATGTGTTGCAGTTTCTTCTCTGAAATGTAGAGTCTGGCTGCTCTACCATAATAGTTGAGATTAGTTGACACACCTGTAACATGCTTGGAAAGGAGCCAGTTGGAGAAAAAACAGCTACATAATTAATTACAATAGTTACAGAACCACTTAAAGAAAGATTCTTTTTTCTGTTGTTCAGTATCTAATTTCCCATAGCCTGACACAGAGCTCTATTAGTCTTCTGGTCTAATTTTAAAGGCTAACTTCTGCTTGAGCTGGCAAAAGTTTCTGAAAAGTGTCTATGTATCAAGAAAAATTGTGAAGTTTATATATAGAAAAATGTTAATAAAAACCTGTGTTCATATAGAAAGCCTTCACAGGGTGAATATATCATTTCAGTCCCTCTTGAAATACATTTGGAGGACTAAATTGTGTCGAGATATTGTGATGGCTCTCTGCACTGCACCAAATTGTTCCAGTTAACAGAATTCATTGAGAAAAAGTAGAAACCCTGTATGATTGCAGGGTCAATTAAGTCTCTTAACAGTGCATTGAATATGATATAACTTCTGTTTACAAACCCTGAATTAACTATGGTCTTTGTCTTATAATATGGACACATATGGAATTCACAAGTGAAAATTGCTTTAAATTGAGAAAGAGTAGATTTAGATTAGACATAAGGAAGAAATTCTTCACAGAGAGGGTGGTGAGGCACTGGAACAAGTTGCCCAGAGAAGCTGTGGGTGCACCCTCCCTGCAAGTGTTCAAGGCCAGGCTGGATGTGGCTTTGAGCAACCTGGTCTAGTGGAAGGTGTCCCTGCCCATGGCAGGGGGGTTGGAACTAGATGGTCTTTAAGGTCCCTTCCAACCCAAACCATTCTATGATTCTATATGAGTAGCCCTTGCCCTTATCTAATATATTTATAACCAGAAATAAAATCTGCTGAAGTCCGTGGAAGACTTTCAGTTCTCTACAGCTATCAATCAGTCATGTTTTGCAGTAAATCCTAAATCCCTTGGATAATTGACTTTTTTTAAAAACCACCAGGGACTGGGGGGAAAAAAATAAATCCAACCCAAAACCAGGGTGTGATCTTGCAGCCATAGAACACCAATGGATTACCTGCAGTCTCCTCCTGCTGTTCCATCAACCTGTGTCCGTGCAGGCTTAGGTTCCATCCCTTAAATATAAGAGTTGAATTATCCTACTCTCCTCTGTAAGTGTATTTGCAGATGAATGACAATGTGTTACTTGAGTTGAATTCCTTTTTTTTTTTTTTCACAGTGCCTTGAGCCAGACGCTTTGTTACTAATAGCTGGTGGAGATTTAGAAGACCGTATCAGTGAAGAAGTATTTCAGAGAATTTCTCTTATTCTCCTGTACTACATTTTCCATCATAAAGATGTGTGTTCTTCAGACCTCGGCTTGGATAATAAGGATTATAAATTTTACCTACAGAGTATGCTTAGTTTAAGACATGATGAAGATTCTTATTATTTTTCACGGAATGAAACTGAAGATATTTTGGCTGCAGTAAGGCAACATTTTAAAACTTCTGAAACCCAGGTAAAGAAAACACAAGTAAAAAAACCCTTCATATTTATTATTGATATAATGCCTTTAAGCTAGTTCAGACATTGCACCAGTATCATGGCCCTCCAGAAAACTGATTCAGCATAGGGTGAAAATGGGTCTTCTGTTGCACATGCTGTTTAATACTAGACTTCTCCTTGCCTTGCTTTTGGCATGTGCTGCCTAGTGCTTCCAGAGTCCACTGAGACATGGTTGGGGAGATAGCACATATTAGGGAGCATCCCTAATAGGTTGTTTAGAGCTGTTCCTCTGCTTAGGACAGATGGAAAAGAGCCTTGCTGTGTGGATACAGGGTCTTGCACTTGGCTTCAAGGACAGAAAATACTTTCTCATCTCTTGTATTTATTAGCATAGATACACTAGCAGTGGTGAGTGTATTTAAATGGTGTAAGACAGAGGAGCTCCAAAACTGATCTTCTGGCTGTATAGCAGAAACAATGAATCATTTTGCTATGATGAAATCCTTGCCAGGCCCTGCCATTTCCATGTCCATCCAAAGCAGGGTGGAATAATGAATCTGCTCAAAGATTGGGTGATGAAGTATGATGGCTTCCTTCAGTTGCGACACATTCCTTTGTGACTCATTATCTACCAGCATGAATATGCTGTGTAGAAAGACTGATACCAATAAGCTTAAATTTAAAGTTAAAAAAAAAGCGTATTGAGTATATTCATCTAAAAATCCTTTTTTTTAGTCAGGAAACCTGCAGTGAGTTTTCTCACCACTGTTTATTATTCCTTATCTGAAGTAGGGTCTATAAAATAGTAGAATAATATTCTGGAGTTTGCAACCTAAAGAAAAATTGTTTTCCTTGTATTGGGCAATAAAATTTTTGCCACATTAGGTAACTCCTAAAGTACAGATTGACCTGCTGTGAGAAGCCTCTGTGCATAATATAGAGTTAAATGTGGTGTATTGAAAAGTTCAAATTTGCCCTGTTCTTTTTCATTTCATTAGATTTCAATTTGCACCATACTGTAGTAGTTTCCTATGCAGACAGAAGACAGCTAGGAGTCCTGGCTGTGCAGTAGAATGCTGAAGGCCTCCAGTTCCTCTTTCTGTGTTCTTTGTGTAATCGTTTCCCATCATAAATTATTCATTGACCAGTACTTTTGGTTCTGAGTCTTGGTGAACGTGCCGATTTCCAAGAACTCCAGTGGTATCTGGGCAACTGTAAAGAGGCATCAGTGGCTATTTGGCATGTCAAGATAGAGTAACAATCCATAAAGTGCTTTACTGTGTGGTCTGTTTGTTTATGCTGGCAGTATGATCAGTTGTGAAGCCTGTTCTGTAACTGAGACTTCACCGCTCACTGACATAAGAGAAAAGAGGGGTTTTTTAATGAAAGGTACTCAAAGCATTACGGAGTGTCTAATGCATAGAATCACAACACTTGAGTTATCGAAAAGGGCCAATCATGCAGCGTAGTAATAGAAAAATTGCATTTTTAGTAGGTCTTCATATGTTTTGGTTTCACAGCAAATATCCTCTTCTCAGTCATAGAAGCTAATATATTATTTTAAATAAATGTGGAAATGTATAATGTATAATGGATGGAAGGGAAAAGAAATGCCAGCCTCCTCTCTGCGCTGTTTAAGGCATATGTAGGGAGAGATGAGTAAGTGTAAAATAAATTATTTCTGTACTGGCTTATCTAGTGGACTTTTCAATTCAGTTAATATGGGTTAGAGACAAATGAACTTAAATAATTTTCCCCCCTTTTTTTTTTTTGTTGTTTTGTTTCTCTCAAACCCAAACTGTTTGCAGTGAAAATAAACAAGAAAGGCAGAAATGGAAGAAAACAGGGCTAAGTTTCCAGGTAACTGAGGGAGCTGTACTCTGCTTCCTTGCTTCAAACCTGCACATACCCACACACATGGGTGTACATGACTGTCCAATGCTCCTGTTTGCTTACCCAGCAGGGAAGTCGCCCTCTATCTGCGGAACTGTATCTTGCCATATTGTCCCTAGATAATTGCCCTATAACAAATTACTTATTCGACTTAATAGATAAGGAACTAAACACATTAAGAGAATTCTTTCTGAAATTTGAGATAAAGACTGTATTACTTGAGTCAATTTCTTGTATCCTAACAAAAATCCATCCCTTTTCTGCCACGATGTAAATGCAATGGAGGAGGACACAGAAATAATAGAAAAAGCATGAAAGTAATATTAAGCAAAAATAACCTGAATGATACTTCTTCCCCATCAGACACTGAGTAAAATTTCAGGCATTTTTATTCCATGGCTGTTCTCCTGAAAATGTCCTCTGTTTCACATTTGCTGTTCTGCTGTCAATTACAGCTTTAATCTTGGTATTTTTTCTATCCTTGCTGTCTGTGAAAGTGTTCTCTCCAGTTTCTCCACCTGTCACTCTGATTATTTAAATGGAGGTGACCGGGGCTGTCTTCAAGCTGTTTTCTCCTAATTTCAGTGTTTTGATGTGACTACTCTGGAGAAAAATGCTGATATAATGCACAGAGATGGTGCTGATGAAAACACTCTTCCACGCCTGGCTGCTTTAATCATTACACTGGCTCTGCAAGGAGTCTGTATGGGGAAAGCAAGTTTGCCCTCCCCAGAATTTTTTGTAAAATATATTTTCAATTCTCTAAACAGTACCACTGAGATCCAAGTGTCAGGTAAGCTATTTATTTGTCTCTAGGACTTTGCACTTCATTTCGGATTTGAATGTCATTTCAGTTTAGAACTGTTAGGTAGTCTCTTCTAAATGTAAAAAATATCATTGGAAAATAAGCTGCTTATGATGATAATTCTGAGAGGTATAAAAAAAATTGTTACTGTGATTATTAAATGTGTTTATAACCTAAATGTATTTATAACATATTTGCTCAGCACTGTCTGGCCTACCAAGTGAGCTGAGAGTGGCGATCCGTCTATGAGGGCAGAGTTCACTGGGACCTCGTTTAGATTGTGTCTTTATGCGGAGCTCAGTACACTGCAGGACTCGTTTAGGGGTAATTTGTCATGACTAGACACCTTAATCATGCTTCAGTGTAGTCATAGCCCCAGAAGAGATGAAATAGATACAGGTCAATCTGTTTTGACCAAATACTCTCTGATATCTGCCTAATGTACCTGAAAACATCTTTATGGTTTGTGCTTCCCTACCCACCTTCTGATCTCAGTACCCAGTTAGTGAGCCTGGAATATGAAAAGTTAATTTTCTTCAGGAGCTCTGTTGCTAGATGTATCAGAAATGCCAATAGCTATAAGTAGAAGTATAAGAAAGTCCTAACTTCCCAAAACTAAAAAAAAAAAAAAAATTGAAAACACAAGTGAGCTCTGAGCAGCTGCTTTAAAGTTCTTAAAAGATTCTGCATGCTTAGCAGTTTGAGAAGCTAAACCATCAATTCAGGGGCCTACTATTGATTTAGAAGGTTATTGTAAGACATCTACTTTTCCTTGTTTGTGGTAACTGCTAATAGCAACACTTAAAAGGTGTTTTGAAAAGCTTCTAGAAGTTAGATTAACTATGGGTTAACACAACAAGTGGAATTAAGTGTAGCTGAAAGGACGTTGACAAGAGGTGGGAGTTGGTCTCTTCTCCAAAGTGATAAGACAAGAGGAAATGGCCTCAAGTTGCCCCAATGGAGGTTTAGATTGGATATTAGGAAAAATTTCTTGTTCACCAAAAGGGTTGTCAGGCATTGGAATAGGCTGCCCAGGAAAGTGGTTGAGTCTCCATCCCTGGAGGTATTTAAGAGACAAGTAGATGTGGTGCTGAGGGACATGGTTTAGTGGTGGACTTGATGCTCTTAAAGGTCTTTTCCAACCTAAAAGATTCTATGATCCTGTGATTTTTCCACTCTTAGGTTACATAGGGATACACTGAATCTCAAAAGTAAATAATAATAAAAACCGGAACAAAATCCTCAGCCTTAAATTTAGAACCCTAGATTGTACTTGCATAAACTGGTTTTGCAGCAAAGCCCTTCCTCTAAAATTGCCAAGCCAGATCTAAAATAAATGCCTCACAAGAATGGATAGAGCCGTCTGGGCACTGTGCTACTAAACAGCTATATATGGTGAAATGCAGACCCCAGTGAGGACAATAGCAAGACTTCGTGGTTGGTGGAGTTAGGTTGTCATTCAGAGAAACAATATTCTTAATCAGTTTGTTACAGTGTAAGTATTTTAAAACTAAGCTAATTAAATTTAAACTCATTTAAATTCTTAATATTAACTGGAGGAAAGAGCAAGGAACTGGCAGCATGCAAGTTTTAGGCTAGGATAGAGCATGGCCCTTCATATAACCAAGCATTTCATCAGCAGGCACAACCATTTCAGCAGCAGGAACACCCATTTCACTCAAGTTATGTCATGGGATACATCCCTGCATTGTCTCAAGTTTGGATTAGGGGTCCTGGCTCCTTCTTCCTACTTCATTGCTCTAAACAGGCATGCTTCTAGATTAGCAATTTAACCAAAGGAGAGAGAAATTCCCCTGCCCTGTATCCCACTTCCAAAGTGAGAAGTTAAGCACAGCATCCTGAAGATTGCTTTCAGGACACCTTATAAAGGATCTGTCTTCCTGGTCTTTCTGGACTCGCCAAATTCCTGGCCATGGTGTCTTAGCATGGTGTTCCATTTACATGGGAAAATTTGAAGAATGATGATGATATTTAACAGTAATTTGTAGATAACTTTGGCAGAGACCGATTGTTAAGTGGGAGATGAATTGCCTTTCAGTCACATCTGTTTTCCTCTGACACAGTAATAGGCAAAACATCTGAGTGTGGCATGGCAAAGAAGGAAAGGCTGAGTATATAGGTGGTGTTAAGTGGAAATCACCTACAGTACCAATCTGAGGAGAGAAAGTAGTATTAAAATGAGGAGCTGAATTAATGTTAAAACTAACAAAATTTTAACAATTTTGGTTTTTATCTTGTATTTTTCCATGTTAATATGCTTGTTTTCTAATGAATTACTAGAACTAGAACAGCTACTGAACGTGCTTACAGCCAGAAAGACCTGCACTGTAAATGGGCAATTCCACAGTCAGAGAAGAAGACGTTATAGTATGGCAATCAGAGATATTGGAAACCAAAATATTCCAGTCAAAGGAAACCATACGAAAGGAGACTATCTGAAAAGTTATTTTGAAGATCCTGAAAGGAACACAGATTGGGACCAGGTTAATTTATTTTTATCTTATTATAGTTTTGCTCACAGGATTTGAGAGATGAAAGGTCAAATTGGTTTGCAAACACTACATTATTTCTGAGTTAAAATTTATTAATTTCAAAATATCATGCAGATACTGATGAATATATTTTTATATCTTTACATTTGTTTTAATGTTAATTGGTAGAAGAACTTTATGGATGTTGAATGTGTGATTGAAGTAGCTGGGAAGGGAGAACAGAACAGTTAGTGTTAGGCAGAATCAGGTGTTTCTTCAAGACATACGGGACTGTATTACCACGGCTTCAGTGTTTTCACTTACTGGAGATTTCTTGTGTTCTTATGTCGCAGAGCATCCAGGGCGCCCCTAAGTGATCTTGTAGAAAGAATTGTTGTTCTCTACTAAGGAAAATAAGTAAATTAAGGTTTTTATTTAAGTTGCTTTTAAAGGCTTCTGTAAATGGAAGTTTGGGTATTTCCAAACAGTTTTAATACCAACCTATGGCATCCAGAAGCCTCCTTTAGGAAATATAGTCTGTAAGACAGAACTTTAACTATAACCCAATATTGTTTTTGAGGGCTTTGAAGGACAGTGGCTCATTGCAGGTGATTCTATCATTATCCTAAATAGTTGGGGAAAAAGATATTGGTTTATAGCAACGATTAAGATGGTAACTGACTTCCTTCTTTGAGACTGGAACATGTTCCTTAGACAAAAAGGAGGCTTCAAAGTATACACTTTGTTTATATTTTGACATATACATTTGAAATATATACCTCAGAGAATATGCTTCTATTTTTTTCAGTTCTTTACAAATTAAGTTAAATCAAAGACAATATTTCCTTTCCATTTGGGAGAATGAAATATGTGCAGTTGACTTTTGCTGTGTGGTCAATTTATGATGCGGAACTGAGACAAATGACACCTAGTTAAATGCCACTCATAGATACTTATCTGTGTAATTTTATTGCATTTGGTATATGTACTCTATCAATATGTTTATTTCCTTCCAGCTGACCACAAAAGAGAATCATACTCATTAGCATGATGAGGCATTTAATGAGGTCTCAAAATAATTCTGGATGGTCATTTTAAGTGTTGATCATGTTAATTTTAAATTACGAAGAACAGAAATCACTATTGATACTCTGTACAAGAAGTAAAATTGTTTTCCAGCAATAGAAGAATTTATAAAACACAGTTTTTGATTTCTTGAACAGCTGAGACTGTAACTCAAAGATAAGTTTTCAGGGGAGTTATCTGAGGCTTGGGAGTCAAACTGAGCCAAATACTCTGTACAGATTAGAAAAATCACAAAGAAACTTCTGGAGAGAAGATAATTTCTATTCTGTAGTAATTACTAATTTCTCGGGTTTATTCCATTCCTCTTCTTTCTACATATGTCTATTTTCTTTGACATCTCATTCTATTAGAAGGCTTTGTGTTTTAGTGCTGTGTTGCTAATTTTGTCTCCTGCTTTCTGCACATATTTATAATATCCATTGTGCTCCATTAGTAAGGTATCTCCTACGTCTGAAGCCTTGACGCATTTAAGGCTTGTCTTTGCTCACTACATCTGTAATTTGACTTTTAGATAAGAATTGTATTTTGAAACATTATCACAGAGAAAGGTCACTGCTTTCTTTTGAAGTCATCACTGTGTCTACTGATTTTAAAAATGCATATAAAACAAGTCAGTAGTAGACAATCTACTAAGAGCCTGTTTTCTCAAACCAGGGCCAACATCAGTCAGATCAAATTTCACAGCGCCATCTCCAGCTGAATTCTGAATGGCTCCAAAGATGGAGATTCCACAGTCTTTCTGGGAAACCTATACCAGTGCTTTATTGCCCTCATTTTGAAGTTTTTGGATTTTTTTTATCATAGCAAAAATTTTCCCTGCTACGATTAATACCTATTGCCTGTCATCCTTCTGCTGTACAACTCTAGGAAGACTCTGGCTCTGTTTTCCCTATAAGCCCCATTAGATAGTTGAAGACTTAAGATAAACGCCGACCATTCTCCAAACTAAACAGGCCCAGGTCCTTCAGCCTCCACCTGCATATCATGTGCTGCAGTTCTCTAGCCATCTTGGTAGCCTTCCATTGGATTTCCCCCAATTTGCCAATGTCTGTCTTGTATTTCTGGTTATTAAACTGGACATAGTCCAGATTTGGAATCATATGTCCTGAGTGGAGGGCAATAATCTTTTTCTATTGCCTGTTGGCCACACTCTTGCTAGTGCAGCCCAGTATGCAGTTAGCCTTCGTTGCCACAAGGGCACACTGGTGACTCATGTTCAGGTTGTCTGCCAGGACCCCGAGGGCTTTTTCTGTAAAGCTACCTTCCAGTCAGTTTTTCGCAGTCTTTACTGATGCGTGGGGTTTATTCTGTTTGAAGCAGAATAAATTTGTCTTTGCTGATCTTCATGAAGGTCTTGTTAGAGTGCTTCTTTGGCTTTTCAAGATCCCTCTAAGTAGCAGCCATGCCCATCAGCATGTTGACTATTTGTCCCTGTTGGATTTCATCTGTGAACGTGCTATGGTGCACTCCGTTCCATCACTTGGGTCGTTGTCAAAGACATTAAGTAATATCAACCCCTGTACTGACCAGTGAGGAATGCTGCTCATAACCAGCCATAAGTTAGACTTCCAACTTGGTTCCACTTGCTGGTGTTCCCTACTTTAGAGTCAAATTCACTGTCTAGAACAGACAAACTGAAGGTCTTGTCTAATATGGCAGCTCCTGAATTGTCTTTATGCTCTCCTGCTTGGAGGCAGAACAGACTAGATCCAGGTAGCAAGATCACCTGTTATCCTGAAGGTTTGAATGTGGTGTTCAGAACACATGTATCAGTGTTGAATTCATTCAGTTTCTTAGTGAGCTACAAGACATATTTTACTTGACTAACAGATGAGCAAATGCAGGAATGTGTTGGGTTTCAATTGGGTTATATAAAAGTAATGATAATTACAACATTTTATTTTAACAGTAATTTTATTTCCAAAGAAACCTAAGCTTCAATGATTAGAAAAAGAACCATACATATTTAAGAATCCTTTGATTCTCAGATGCAGAGTAGTTTAAATTAAAGAAACAACTACTTATTATTTAAGTGAATCACAACTAGTAAAATGAGATTAAGAAATTAAGATTATTCCTTTAAATAAAATAGCATATTTGATTTGCACTTTTTCTTTTAAAAGTTCTTACAGGAATTAACACTAGAATTTTTTAATACAAACTGCTCACATTTTTGCTAGAAGTTTCATCCTAGGGATGAAAAAATAATTCTTCATGAAGATTTTTCAAAATATGTGTTCCAAATAAAAGGTTTTTTTGACCTTTCCTGTCACTTCTAACAGGGACAAAAATAAGTTGAAATTCTTAAGTACCTCTAATAATACAATTAAGTAATCTTTAGCCCAAATTTAGACTAGCTTGCTGACCTTAAGGTGACATGTCATTGTTAAAAGACTTTTAAAAAGCATTTGAGGTCCATATTTTACTAAAGATGCAGCACAAGGACAAATTTCAGTACTGCCTTCATATACTCACTGTGTCTTACATTGATAGCAATATCATTGCTATTAATGCAGATCTATATTAATGTCTATGACTTATGTTAGCATTAAAATATTTTTGTTAACACATTTGATAAAATATTTAGAGATGATATTTTGTCAGAACCTCATGGCTCAATAGAAATTCTGCTACCTTATCCCAAATATTCTGGTCTTTCTCAAGTATATGGTAGTATCAAGTTTTAATTTGGAAAAAAAAAAAAAAAAAGGAAAAAAAATAGTTGTAATTTAACCCGAAAAGAATATATGGAAAACAAGTTTTTTCTAGGTTGTATAACCCTGTGGTGTTCTAAGATTCCATGTTTAACCTCAGCATTAAATGCGGGTATATGCAACATATTCAGTAACTGTATATATTTTTCTACCTAGGTTTGTTTCTCTGCCAATGAACTTGTGAAGATATTTTTAAAAAATAGTTCTTCCTCCATTTCTAAGGACCAGTTCAAGCAAATCAGTCCAGCTATCATTCAGCAGCTATTAAGTTGTTCATGTCAGCTTCCTGACTTCAAGCAGGCAAAGCTTCCACCAACAACTTTGGAAAGTGAGTTATGGCTTTATCAGTAAAATATTGTGAAAATTCAGATAAAGGGGTGCAGGGGCTTAACTTCTGGAAACATTTCATTCACTAATAAATCAAAATGTTTTGAGATTTATGCACTCTATAATCTCACAACATACATGTCAGATGATAGTACTACATTGAGAAGTGAGAGGATTAAATGGTCTCCATTTCATACTAAACAGAATTCTATTTCAGTGTGTGAGGTTTTAAGCTTTACTTTCTTCATTTCTAGAGGCTGCTTGGTATAGACAGCAGGTGAGCCATGACAGGTCCTAGTCAGTGGGCTGCTGGGCAGGAATGACCTACTTTGTGAAGATTCCACCAGGTTACACTGGAATCATTACATTGCTTTTATACATAGCCTGAAGGTTGTGTTAGCTGGCATTTTATACCACAGTGTGGCAAATGCTTGATATAGCTAAGCTTTGTGTGAATGTTGCTGGTTTTCCATGTTGTGATATTTTACAGCAGAAAGGCTTTGGGGATACTACTGTGGGAAGAAAAACAACCAGAAAACCAGTCACATGGGTAGCAGGACTTGTGTGGTAGAGCTGGACCAAGAACTGAGTTGGAGTATAATCAGATTGTTTCCAGTTGCAGTCGTAGCCCTCACATGCCACTGCTTCCAGGGATTTCTGCCTGTCTGTTCTGCTGATTCAACTTCCCCTGTAACTGATCCCTAGTCCACCCTATTGAAAACCAAAATCTGAATCTGTTCTAACCTAAGGGCTGCTTAATGTGTTTCCCCAATTTGTTTTTAATTTAAACACGTAATATCTGGGAAATGTTTACAAACAAAGGTGTGCTGGTATATTACAGGGGCCATTAATTTCTGGTGGGGTATTTGAGAGCTGAGAATGAGCAAAAAGGAATGGTCATCTAACTATAATAACCTGCATCTAGAGCAGCACTCTTAGGCTGCAAATCAATGCCTTCAATACCTTTATCCTAATATCTACATGGCCAGGTCTAGAAGCTTTGATCTTTCAGGAGCTAGTAAGCTTTTCCCACTTCTTGCTGGCCAATGATCCTTATGAAACAGCACCTTAATTTTCTAAATTCTGTCTGTACTTTAAGCTACACATGTTAAGGAGCTTGTGGGAATGACCTGAGCTATCATTCCATGGTGTACAGATTAATTGAACTATGACTGTGAATTGAAAAGAACATGTTAGATAATGACATGGAAGGACACTTGTGGATATCCCAAGAATGGCTATAGGAATAAGAAACATACAGAATAAGAAGAATCATTATTGCTTCCCAGAAGGCATCAGTCCTTCTTTCTCATGTTGTATCTCATCTCTCTTGCTTATACCTTTTCTTTGCTATGTGGATATACCTATTTTTCAGATGGGGAATCAAGGGACAAAGAAAGAAAGGAACTTACCAAGCTCATATGCAAGTTTCATGGCAAATTCAGAGTTGAGTGGGATTCTCCCAAACCCAAGGCCATCAGCCTAATCAACAACACTTTAGTGGTCTCAGAAAGATGAGACATCTGTGTAGATGAGAAAAGCTGAACTATTCAAACACAGAATGGAATTAATAAAAGCCCTTTCTGCAACCCCTTCCCTGTGCTTTTTGGCAAAGGAAGGTTTCCATGACCACAGGGACACTTCTGGCTTGAGACAAAAAATGACTTCATGTTTGACCTGTGTGTGGCCTATTGACCTGAGTATAGGCTCATTAATTTTATTCTCAGTTCTATTTTACTGACAGGCTGTGCAGTTTGGGCCAAGTTACCAAGGCCTGACCTTCCATAACTATCTCCTGTACCCTTGTAGTTGGATGTGCAGTCTGTGAAATTTACTGTCTGATTTTATGAGGTGCTGAGCACTCGTAGTGCTATTAAAGTGTGAAACATTAAGTGACACTTCTGAATATTTTGGCATCCGTTCCTTTATGTCTGTTTCTCATCAGTGTTTTACCTCAGATTAATCAGGATTCATGTTGTGCAAAAGGTTGGGAATGTGAGCAGCATATAGCTCTGAAGAATTATAAGAGTAACCTCCCAAAAATCCCAGTAACCTGGGAAATACAGGTTAGTGGTCCTCATGTAGTAGCTAAAGGAGTGTATGTCCACAGCACACTTGTAAATATAATTTGGGCCAAAAAGGTTTATGCTTAGAAACTAAATTCGATGCCTGCATTCACCTGAGGGTTTAGGCCTTGGTGTGTTTGCTGAATGTGATTTGGTTAATGATGTGGTGTTGGCTGTGAAGTTACACAGGTGTGGCATGTCAGGACACAGAACAGCAAGCATAAATCTGTTCAGAGAGGAAACAAATGCAGACCAGCATTCACTCTGCTGCTCTTCAGTGTCTCTAATCTGCACAGCCACAGTCTATTTAGCTCTTTAAGGTCTGAAATTTGGAAGTATTAGACTGTGTTACCTGTAAAGCCTGAAAAACTGAATGTTTCTTAGGCTTCAATTCTGTCATCTGTATCACACATGGCAACAAAAATCTACATGGCAGAGTGAATCACTTCTCCTCTGTGTGCCCGTACACAGAGGTGGCAAAACACAGACTCAAAACCAAATGCAAAATACATACTGAAACACAAACGCTAACACTGAATAATTAAATGTGCCATTGTTTTTTTAATTTGTTTTCCCAAGCACTGTGGCTGTTTTACTTATTACGATTGGATCTATGTTTGGTACAACCCTCATTTTATTTAACTCCTGTCAAGAAATCTATACACTCGTTTTACAACTGTTTGTTGGTTTGGCTGTTGGGACCCTTTCTGGAGACGCATTGCTACACCTTATTCCTCAGGTAGGTAATACACTAAAATGCTGGCATATATGCACATGCACACACACAGAGAAAAGTTTCATTTAAACCTGGCTAATACTCACCTGTTCAGAAATAAAGCTTTCCGTTAAATTTGTTAACCAACTACCCAGCATTTCAATTACATTTGCACTTTGCAGTTCAGAGAGATTCCAAGTAGTAAGAAGCAGAAATCATTGAATGATGAATTCAGAGAAAATACGGATCCTATTTTCATAAAAAAATTTCAGAAAACATACAAGTCCTGTGAAACCAGGTTTCTAGATGTCTATTAAACTATTTCAGGAGGCAGATTCTGTAGTGCCTTTTAGGATAAATTGTTCAAAGGTTGTGTAAGGCATCCACAGTCCCCTCCACATATTGTTCTAGAGAGCCAGAGGCCATCAGCCTAATTAATCCTGCTGCCTAGGACTGTAATAAAATGGGTGCTATGACTTCTTCCTAAATTAATAAAATAAATTAGAAGAGAATAGGATAGTGTGTAAAACAAACAAATTTTCTGGTGTGTATTAATTTATTTTTGATTGAGTCTGCTCAGATATGACACAACTGTTATGAGCAGATGTCAGCTGGTCATTGAAAGAGAGATTCACTCCTTCACTTAAGATTCTGGTCAAAACGTTCTTTGTGCTCAGTACATCATTTCTGGAAGCAGAACAGGGAGAGTGGGTAAGGGAAGGCAATTCTCAAGGACATCTCATTGTCCCATCCTCAGACAAACGTGTTTTTTAAGAAAAAATTTTTGAGTGTGAAGTTCACCAGTTTTAAGGGATGTAACCAGTAGCCTTTGAAGTGCTCTGTTTCCGAGCGGAGGAGGACTAACATGCTGTGCACTGGGGAAAATATGGAAGTACCCCCACCAGCAGAAAGCTTTATGGATAATTTTCAATATGAAGTTTACATTCTGAAGATGATGCAAGTAACTTTTTAGATTTTGAAGATCACTATACTCCAAACAAAGTATACTAAGTATATGTATATATAAAGGGTAATTTCATAAAACACTCTACAAATAATGTTACTTTCAACACTGAGAGATGATTAAGTGCAGCAGAGGCTCCTAATAATTAATTTAATCCACCTACTATTCAGCTTATTAGCTCAAAACAATTTAAATTTGATAGACATGGCAAAAAAAATTGAGAATAAATTGAATGAACACATTACGGGATTACTCTAGCAAAATGTAGCCGTTTAAAATTTTTTACTTTTTTTTTTAGACTCTTGGTTTACATAAACATGAAGTACAAGAAGTAGAACACTTCTATGAGGGGAAGGAATATATTTGGAAACTTTTGGGAATAATTGGCGGAATTCACGGATTTTTTCTAATAGAAAAGTGTTTCTTTCTTTTGGTAACACCACGTAGCCAGGTAAAGCTTTGTACTATTTATTCTTTAAAAAAATCTTTTATTTTAAGATTGTACAGTGCACTAAATGTTAAAGTGATTGTGGAAAATAATCATCATTCGTATGAGTTAAATGAAGCATGCAAAACTGCTTCCAAAGGCCTCCTACCAGGTTGACCTTCAATTTCTATTTTGCTTTGCTGTATGGATTTTGTATGCTTCATGAATGTGTCCCATACATGTATAACTCAAGAAGGGAACAGTTAATTGAATGTGTTCCATAAGCATACTTTCATGACTTGCACTGGAGCAGGTGAAGAGTATGTGTCCATATCAAATAGCAATGACAGTTGTTTCTTATAGGCTCTGTTTGATGAGGAAGAAGACATGGATATAAGCAAAAGATATTTAAAGAATAATATCTTAAAATTTCCAAATTGGTTTTGACCCCTATGCCAATAGATTTGAAAATCTAATATGTATGTTGTGACCAGTAGAACCCCCTCTTATATTATTATTTCCTTGCTTGCTTACAGTATTTCTATTACTCTATTTCAGTGTGGCTTGTGCCTGAAAATATTATGCACAAAGATATAATGTAACACAAAATGTGATGGCTCATTAAGTTTCTCAGCATGGGAGGCTATCTTAAAGTCACTTAAGAAGGCTAAGGCTTTTTGTGTCAACCAACAATCCTCTTCAATAGGTTTTGTTTTGAAAGAAAAAAAGTTCTTATAAATGCTAAGCTTTCAGAGAAGACTGAGAAAGACTGCACCTGTGTTCATTGGGTTTCAGAACTAATTGCAAAGCATCTTCATTCAGCAGGGCCTTTCTTTAGTTAATGGGCACTGGGGACATTCCCATGATCTTCCAGTGGAATCTGAATTCAATGAACATTCAGGCAGAGACAAATCTACTTCAACCATACAGTTGGTAGGTTACCAGTATGACATATTTCCCTAATTTTATATCCTTCTTTCTCTGTTCCTCAAAAAATGAACCAAATGAATGTAATAAATCACTGTTTATTTTCAGTCTTTATTGATTTGTCCTTTATTACATTACATGATTATCAGGAATCTCTAGATTTTGAAGTTTATAACGAGCTTTTACAGAAATTTTCAACACAGATTTTCACAATAACTTTTCTGTGGATCAGATTGCTATAACAATACAATTCCTGTACTACCTTTTGTTGATAAAATCCTTGAAGCTTTTCCTTCTCACTTCTTTTAAAAATATATCATGGATAAGGGCATGTTCTCCCATGGGAAAAACTTCAGGATTTTCTGCAGTGAGAGTTAAGTGCATAATTAGGGAACAGATGAAGTTCTTGGGCATTCTTTCACAAGTATGAAGTATCATAAATAAGCTGGGTATTTGGGAATAGTGCTTACCTATATGAAGTTACATAACTTCTGGTCTGTAGAAAGTATCCAGACATATATATTTTTGCAAACTAAATTTACTCATACCTTTTAACCTGTATTCTCTTTTTCCAACAAATCTCTTCAGCTTGTATGTGGTACCTAGACACATAGGTTCTTGGTTATTTAAATCAGGATCTCCCGAGATCTTTTATAATGTAAACTCCATTTAACTAAAGCAGTTGTGATGGGTGAGAGCCTCATGAGCCACTGTTAATCTCTCAAACACAGTTGGGAAACTCTCAATTGAATGAAGAGCAAACAGATGAGTGGAGAATGTTTACTTATTTGTGAGCTATGTCATAGCTTCCTGTTTATGACAGTGCATGAGCTCATCATTCCACTTGGACGCAAGATCCTCCTTAAGTTATGTATAGATCACATGAACTAGCCTGGCTTAGCTAGTTTGTACAAAAACAGCCAATTTTTCAGAATCATGTGAGTAATAGTAAGAAAAACACTGGTTGACTAAGAAAAGCTTATAAATCCTTCAGGTCAGTGATTAGTCTTGCAGTTTTGACTTAGAGTTCAAAGAAGTGGCATGTGAATAAATATTGTAAGAGAAGTGGAACAATTACTGGAATTCATATGGCTGGCTGCAATCATGGGAATTGAAGACTTTTTCCTTTAAAATGCAGAATTTAAAACCCAAATCCTTTCCTTTCTCTCCTCATGCTGCTTCTACAGCACATATCCCACATCACAACCAAGCTAATACCAGCCAAGAAACATACCCTGTTTCGCAGCCAGTACATATCTCTGCTATAGTTTCTGGAGTGGTGACTGCTGTCCTTAACAAAGCACTCTTTCGTGCTGCTGCTGACTCTTCTCTGGCTGCCACAATAGCTTTAATATGCTTTTTTTTGGCCAAAAAGAGAAAAGATAGTGATTATAAATTCAGGGTTTTTAGTTTCAAACAAACATATTTTTTTGGCTGATCTCACCCTTGCTCAAATTTCTAATAATTTCTGTAGTCAAAAAGAAAAACCCAAGGGAGGTAGGGGGAAAGAGATGTTCCTCATGTTCTCCCTTCTCTCCCCACAGTTGCAGTTTCTGTTAATTAAACACTAGGGCTGATGCAACAAATTAACTCTCTAGGATAAGGAAGAAGATACTGCCCCTTTTTTCACTTGAAATAAGGGTAAATTTCACTCATTGCAGTGGAGTGTACTATGTGCTGCAATGCCCAGCCAGTGATGCCTGATGCCAAGACAGGGTTCTAACTGACGGCCAACAGGCAAGGCACTGCAGGTTGTACCACCCGGAAGAAAAAAAAAAAAAAAATCCCATTTTTTTGAAAGGACATGAAACCTACCTATAATCATGTCCACCCATTTTTCCTTAGAAATTCTATAGACACCCTATCCAGCAGGAAACTGCAATCATCCAGTCATGACAAAATCAAAAGATACAATTTGAATTATGAACTATGAACTATTTTGCCCTGCATTTGGCTCAGATTTTTGTGTATTCAAGCAGAAACATGATTTTCTAGGGTTACAAAAATCCTAATGAATGTCTGTTTTCCCACCTGAATCAGACTGTAACCTTTTCTGAGCAAGGGAGATTTGGGTTTATGTGTTTCTGCAGTACCAATCACACTGCCAGTGCTAAGTAAATTATTCTAATAATATCTCTGCAAATAACAGCAACTATCTTTAATTCAAAAAGCTTGAACTTATTTGTTATTTTCCTGTATTTATAGCAGCAGCTGGAAGAGCCCCTTAACACTGATGCATTATCTTTGCTTTTAACTAGAGAAGCCCAGAAGATTCTGAGTCTGCTGAAGTTCCTCCAGAGAGTAAAGCGATCAGCAAAAAAAGTCAGTATCAATAAAAAGACTAGAGAAGCACCAGGAAAAGCCTTAAGACCTAAGATGGAATTGAAAGTGTGAAGCTGGCTTAGCTCTGTGTTTGCTATGTGCTACCTCACCACATCTGATGGTGCTTGGCTCCATAATTAAATATCTTCTTAAAGACCTTTTCAGCTGCCAACCCTGTAATTGTGAAGTTCATTAATCTTATACTGTCCATGCTTTATTGTTTGTTTACTCACTGTTGCAAACCATTTTTCTAAAGCCTTTGCTTAAAGGGAAACATTCAAAATTTAATACAAACCAGATTTTTATAATTGTAAACTTTTCTTGGGCTTTTCTTTCTGAAGGTAGTGAAACAATTGCTGTTTTGGCTCACTGTACTAATACAATTCTGCTTCCTTATTCTCTTACATGGTAAAGCAATATTCTCTTCAAACCAGTAATGACTTAATACATGTGTATAATTATGGCTTGTGATGGCTCTCAGATTCAGGATAATCTTTTTTTCTTCAGAGATCTTCAAAGTAATTCTTACCTTCTTTGTTTTGTTGCTGCTTACTCAAAAAAATTGGGAAAATAGAGCATAAAAATACTTTGTTTGTACTTATGTGACCTTAGTGAATTTAGTAGAGTTCTAGTCATTCAACTGAGGGAATAGCATTTTAATTGAAACTGGTTTATTTACTATAATCAACTTCCCTTTATTTTGTGATCTCAGGTTATTAGTTTCATTTATTTAACAATGTCATTATCTTCTTCTAGGCTTCTAATATTCTTTGTTCTTTTGAACTTAATTTCTGTTTCTATTTTGGAAGCATTTGAAATCTGGATTTCCATTTTCCCAGTCTCAGCAGTACACAATCCAGTGCCAGTTTCACTCTGACTATCTAGTACATCTCTAGATGTTTCCATGCTGTTCAATAATCACTACCTGCTAAGCACAAACAAATTTATAGTGATCTCAATGTTATTTGTTCCAAATAACTAAATTTGGTCTGTAATTAAATTTGAGAGTTTCTCAGTAAAATTCTTTCTTTGGTTCCATTTTTTCCTCATAGCTCAGTTTTACCTCTATATTAGAAATCAGTAAGTGGAACCATAGCAGGGAAAGGCTGTGGATTTTTGGTGGGTTTTTTTTTTTTTTTGAGAACACATACTTTTCTAAATTTGGTGTGGCTACAGTTTTAAATGCATAAGATGTCTCACTGGCCCCCTCCTCCTCATTTATCCCTACTTGTTCTATCAATATCTGAAAAGATCAAACAGTAGCATTTTATATTTGGTATGCTCAGTGAGACCTTACATTAACTAGAAATGTTTTTGCTATATGAGTAATGAAAACATTGGGGGGAAAAAAGATCTATTTATGGATAAATGTTTGGTTTAAACTTTTATTCAAAGCTTAAGAAGCATAATCTATGGTTGGAGTCCTACACCCATTAGCCTTATGGAAATGATAGAGTAGAATTTTCTATGAGCTCTGATCCCTAATTATGCAGAGAAAATTATCAAAAATAAATGTAGGGTTCTTTAAGAAGAGGCTTTGTAGAAATAGTTGAGGGTAGTAACTTAACAGTTACTGTTGCAGTATATAATGCAGTGAGATAATTGCTAGTAACAAAGTTGCTTTAAAATAGGCTGAAAGTAAATTAGGATAAACATTCAGATTTGCTTATATATGCATCTTCTTAACTTTCAGTCAAGCAAGTTCACAAAGCTTACATTTGCAATTGCTCCTTAATGTTAGCCTGATCTCTATGTTATACTATAGACAACACACTGGAGTGAGCTCCAGTAGTTGTGGTACATCTTCAACAATCTTGAATAAAACAGACTTATAATATCTCAGGGTGGGCCATGATTTTGTCCTTGCCAGTGCTTATTACAAATCACAAACTTAATGTAGTGCAGCAATCTATTATTTCTATGTAACTCATGCTCTGCCCTATTGATTATAAACTGTCCATACTGTTAAAAAGAGCTGTGCAAACCGGGGACCTCCACGTCTGGCTCTGTAAGCTGGCAGGAGAACCTAACAAGCCTGCCAATTTTTCTGAACCCGCAGAGCTCCCAGGCAACTGGGGAGGATTTTCTGAATGCAGTTGTTAGGCTTCTATGTGCTGCGTGGTTTTTTAGAATAGTCTGAAGACTTCAGTTCTAACCAGTTTCTGTAAGAAAAACATCTCCCCCATCACTATAAAATGGTCATCTCTGAAAAAAGCATTGCTGAAATGAAACCTTGTAATAACTCGAAGTTCTGCACAGCTCCACGTGGGCTGCTCAGACTGTCATATTATGTCTGTGTGGGGCCAACAAAAGTCGAGAAAATACGTGATGTTTCAGGCCCAAATCACAATCCTGCTTCTTCAGGCATAAAAGCAACCCTTTGCAAAGTGTTCTATCCATACTGTATAGGGGGAAACTGGATGAGTTTCCTGAGAGGCATTAGAAGGCCCTTTCTGTAAAATTGTGGATAAAATGGATGGAACAAAGTACAGGATAGGGGAGCCAATTATGTGTTGCTAAGCCTAGATATTGATCCTATGTATGGAGTGTCACTGACACTTGAGATAAAATCCCTCCCCATGAATACATTCAGCCATGCTACATGGCTTTCTGGGTTACAGGCTGGGCAGAGAGACTGTCCCTAATTCCCTAGCTTGATTTCAGTACTTTTATCAGTAGTAGCACCTTTCCTCTCATGTCAGGTGCCTGATTATGAATATCCAATGTTCTGTTCCACACTAAAGCAAGGTCACAGACAATACAGGAAGGAAAAACAGCGATCTGCATTCATGAGTGATGCTGCAAGACAGGAATACTATGAGCATAATGGCCATTAATTGATTGGAACAAAAGTTGGAAATGAGCATTCTGTTGCTCTGTAGTAATAGTGATAGTCTGGGGCTTGTGGCCTTTCATCCCAATCTTCCACTGTAACACAATCTTACAAAAAACAGACCCTGAAAATGCTACTCAGTAGTAGCATGCTTTACCGTGTTAAAATGATCAGCTGCATGAGGCCAAATATTCACTTTCATGACAGCTGTGGAATTCTGTGAGTGACAGTGGAAAGACTCTCATCTCTTAAAGGAAAAAAAAATAACATCTAGGAAAATGTGTGTGAATTTCAGCAAAGAAAGATCAATGTAAACCCTTAGGTTATATCATGAGTCTGGCCTTAAACTTGATCCTAAATTTTTGTCTAATAGTTGACCTAATCAAAATAGGGAAGCTACTTCCTGGTATTTGCATCTCTGAATTATTCTAAAACCTACATTTTTGTTTCAAATGTGTTAAGGGAAGTGTAACAAGGATAAAAATCTACTGTCCTCTGATTATTTTGGCTTTTCATAATTCTGCACTTGGAGACACCAAAAACCAAATAATTTGTAACATAGCAAAAATCACAGCATTTGTTTGTGTTAAAATTTCTGGGCTTTTTTTTGTTGTTTGTTTGTTCATTTGTAGTTGGTTTTGGTGTTTTTTGTTGTTTGGTTTTTTTTTCCCCTAGGTAAGAAAATTAGCTTGTTAGCAATTATGGTTCTGGTGGGTGACAGTCTTCACAATTTTGCTGATGGCTTGGTAATAGGAGCAGCATTCTCGTCCTCAACAGAAACAGGTGTGACGACGACTATTGCTATTTTATGCCATGAAATTCCTCATGAAATGGGTAAGAAATATATATATGTATATGTATTTTTCCTGATTAGCTTTGTAGTTCCAGGTTTTCCAAAGAGTTGTTCTTGCTTATAGCATCATGAACTATAGCATTATTGTGTGAGATGGTTATATAAAGAGGCTGCATTCTCTGTCCCCTTCACAAAGAAGAGGAGAGGCTTCTGTTCTCATTATTGGATACCATCTCATCTCACCATCTTCAAATGTAAATGCCATCAGGTCAGAGTGCCCTTTTATCCTCATGTGTACAGACACAAAAATTTGTAAGCTGTGAGCAAGAGCCACGTGTGCCTGACACAACAGGCTATCCAAGTGTTTTAATATGCAGCAGAGCCATTTAACAATGTATTCCTC